AAAAAAATTCTAAAAAGGGTTTTTCTTGCATTTCAATGATAAAGGACCGACCTATTCTCATAGTAAGTCATGAACTAGCCTACTATTACTTCACTGGCTAACTCTTAGATTGTAAAGTATGTTAAATGGTAATGTAAAAGAGAAAAATCATAATAACATATGTAACGACAAGATAGGTGTAAAACACTCACATACAGGGGGGAAGGGATTGTTAGTAATAGGGTCTAACTGACCCATTGCCAGCAATACATCCTATCAGGTCGACCTCCACGCGGTTGCCCTGGAAACCATCGTAGTTAATTCTAGTGGAATTCATCACGATTGACTAACTGACCTGCTATCATCATCAGCTATGATCCCTCACTGGTGTCGCGCCAGCGTGTATGGAAAGCGCAGGCGGGGATAGCATTCCATTATCACCTATTAAAAAAAAACTCACCTACACGTTATAAGCTCGAAGCTGATTTGGCGGGAATATAAATAAAACAAGTTTAATTATGCTCATGTTTAAAAATGGTGATCTGTTATAGAAGTGTATAGAATTGGTTAGAATTAAATGTACTGAACCTAGATATAACATAAATTAAGAAAAAAAAGAACACAAAATTGCACATATTAAATATTTGTTTTTTGAAATGCAGTCATCATCATCATCATCATTACAGTCTTTAACTAATCACTGCTGAACATAAGGCTTCCATTGGAGGTTTTGCCAGTAGTTGCCACGCCTGGTAGGCGGATTAGCAAATGCAGTCAGGCTTTAGAGTTTTAAAAGGGACGCTGCTGCCCATTCCTTGCCCCCTCTTAGCCTATTTTGACACCCACGGGATAGGAAGGGGTGGCCTATTCTATACCAAAACCACACAGCCAATAATGTTTAAATGCAGCATTATAGAAAAATAATAAATATTTTGTATAATAATTGGCAAATAATAATAATAAATACGTATTTATAAGCTCCAATTAAACACATAAAGTGTTACAAAAAAAATAAGATATTGTATTTGCGGGAAACCAATATTAAGTTCCTAATGAACATACTGCAGTCTTTTTTTATACCACTGAGGCGGCAAACAAGCATACAGCCTAATTGATGGTAAGTGGTTACCGTAGCCTATGAACACATGCAATACCAGAAGTATTACGCGTGCGTTGCCGACCCTAAATGTCTGGTTCAATATCGAAGATGTACGTTAAGAGGGACGAGAGCTGACCTTTAGCTATGAAGTAGTGAGCTACATTCACCACCTCTGTGCCTCCGCTGACGGCAATAGTTCCGTCCAGGGCCTTGCAGCGCTTCCTCTTGGCCAAAGGTCATCTCCGTTTTGCGATCAGCGGATGTGGACCGTATCAGTGGTGTATCACGGTCTATCCAGCGTGGATAGATGGTAGGAAAACGAAAGACAGCTACGATGAAGCGACGTCTCACACACGGTCAAGAAGGGTGGTTTTCACCTAGCATGGGCAGATATCAGCGGGAATACGTCACAATCGTCCGCCGATGTTGCTTCATAGGCTTTCAAGGTAATACTGGAGCATGCAGGAAAAGAATATGAGAGGGGGTATTAAATATAAGATTAGGGTAGATTAATTATAAATTGACGACGTCAACAGATATAAATATGTAATTTAAACCAAATAAAACTGAGAATGGCCACGAATTACAAATAAAAAAATAACAGATACCAGAATTTATGCTATTTTGCCTAAATCTAAAACTGTCACATGCAAACATTTACAAAACACGAATATTAAACATTTTCGTTTTTATAATTGCATTGTCAGTTTGTCAGTACGTTAACATTGTTTCTGCTAACTTGGCCAGCTGACGTTTTAATATATTTTTATTTGTATTTATATTATTTATTCTCAAATTCCTTTAGATGTGTCTTTGATATGTTTTTTTCTGTTATTGTGGACAGGTCAGTCGTATTTGGAACGTGTAAGTGAATGGAACTGTGTGTGTATGAAATATAATACTATCAAGAGAAGCAGAGTGATTATTTTATGTCGATCACTGTAGAATAAGTGACATGTGTCGGTCTTATTGTTCCTCCAGTCACAAGTACTTTATACTACATGTGTAGGTTGGCATTTGGAAAATTCTATTTCCATTTTCCCATTTTTGCCAAAGTGCACTGTGCTTTGTCCCTATTCGCGTGGGTATCAAAGAGAAAGGTGGCTCGATTTAACTCTATCATTTCAAATCAATTTTGTTCGCACGGTATTCTTTTTAAATGGAAAGAAGAGACTGTTTTAATTGATTTTAATTACCTTATCAAGAATCGACAATCGATGGGGAAGAAAGGTTCTTGAGCGAAGACCCCATATAGGCAAACGCAGACGACTCTCCCACTAGATGGAGTGACGACCTCAAATGCATTGCAGGGAGTCGATGGATGCAGGTGGCGCAGAATCGTTCCTTATGGAAGTTTATGGGGGAGGCCTTTATGAAAGGCCGGAGGAATTTATAAAATTAATTTGTCGAAAAAAAAATCATTCTATTGCTATTTCATAAAGCATATACTCTTAGTATTTCTATTGCACTCTTTTTATATACTTTAAAGAGATAGTGCTATTAATGAAACTGATCGTTTTGACCACAGGAACATACATCAATAGGTCAGGGAAAGGTAATGTTAATCTTTCTAATGTTTTTTATTCTAATTTATTATCAAATTTTACTTTTTTTAATGGTTATACAGGTATTATTTTCAAATAATGTGTTTTTCTGAAAAAATAGTAGGTTTTATTAACATCTGAGCATTATTATTGACAATGTTGCTGTAGTTTTCAATAGTATTGTTTAATTTAACATTGTTTAATTTTGTGTTTCCTTTACTTGTATTATATTTGTGCAAACTTTAGCGGCTGCCAAATTACTAATTAAGTATATAATTATGTATTGTTCTAGCTGTTTGTTTGCCTTAGATAAATAAATAAATTAAATAAATAAAACAAAATGTCCAGCTTCCCATATTAACAAGTTGCGTCCAGCTGTTTAGTATTGGAGGTCCAAACTTATGTATTCACCTAACGTCTCTCTCTATATTACACTATCAGCTTTTGCCCGTGACTTGGTCTGCGTAAACGGACTATGTTCATTGACCGGAATAAAAAGTGGCCTATATCCTTCTCGATCCCATGTAATACGTGTAACAATAACAAATTTCATAGTTACCGGTTCAACCGTTAAGGCGCAACAAACAAACTCACTTTGTTAATGTTATACTGCCTTAATGATATACGTTGATAGGGCACCAGTGAGTGATATGTGAGTTCATTAGGAAATAACGATAGATTCCAGGAAGATCTGTGTGGAGATCGACCTGAGTGGGTATATTGCTAGCAATGGAGTTAGCCCATCCTGACGAATTCAACTAGAATTAGCCACGATGGTTTCCAGAGGGAACCACGTGGAGGTCGACCTGATAGGGTACATTGCTAGTAGTGGAACTGGTAGATCCTATTACTAACAATCCCTTTCTCTCCCAGTAGTCCCTGTTTCTAACAATCCTTTCCCGGAGGATCCCTTCCCTTCCTTCCCTTCTCCCCGGAAGGGATTGTTAAAAACTATCGTGCTGAATTTCAGGCGTTTTCATCACGACGGGGTAACTGACCTTATTATTGACTGACCTGCCTTTTCATTCTAACCCATTATCGCTTATTGGTGCTCCACTAGTGTATACAATTAGTGCAAGTGGAGTCACTATTCCATTATCGTCCTTAAGAAAAACAATCCCTTCCCCCCATTTATAATATTAAAAAGTATATGATTAGACACGAAAAGAGTCATATTTGCCTGAGCAAAGTGAATTTGGAAAATTGCAAGAACCACTCTGCTTCTCAGTTATTCATGTAGCCAGTATGTTATTTATGAAATGGACCCCTCGTGAAGCCTCGAAGTTGCAATAAAACTGATCTGGGTCACGTGATCCGGTAAATTCAGAAAAATAATCCAATAAAAATTTTATAAAGTCACGTATGTGCAATACGTGACTTTGGTTTGTCAGATTTAAAATGAAAAAAATTACGGATGTTCCTTCAACTAACATACTTCGACGTCCTTTTCGTTTACAGTTAACATATTTTAGGTTGCTATCATCACTAACCTCATATATATATATATATATATATACTAGCTGACCCCGTAAACGTTGTTTTACCACTTATTACAAAATATAAAAATCGCAATTAAAATGCAGGGGTTGATCGTAAAACGATGAAAATTTAAAGTTGCATGTATTTTTCAATGCTAAATTATAATAAAATAAAAATAAAAAAAATTGTCAAAAAATAAAAAAATATATTTTGGGGTGGGTCACCCTTATCATTGAGGGGTATTAAAAATAGATATTGGCCGATTCTCAGGCCTACCCAATATGCACACAAAATTTCATGAAAATCGGTAAAGTCGTTTCGGAGGAGTTTGGTAACAAACACCGTGACACGAGAATTTTATATATAAGATATATAAGAAGTTTCAATACCATCATCATCATTTCAGCTATCATCTGTTCACTGCTGGACAGGCCTCCCCCATTTATGAGTTTTTATATATGCTATTTAAAAACTCACAACCTTTGCAACATATTAACCGTTCTTTTTTTTATGCAACTTAGAATGGCAAACAAGCTGACGGTCCACCTGATGGCAAGTGGTAACCGTCGTTTATAGACATGAGCAGTACCGTGGACATAACAGAGTATACTGTTTCGCCCATGATACCCCCTATGCGTTGCCATTCCTAAGGACTCAGGTGTTATTCCTCTGTACCCAGTAAATTCACTGCCACATCCCACCCTTAAAACCGAAACACAGCCATCCAAACATCTTCCTTCATGATGATTTACATATTAGGCGTTAACTGCCCCCTATTGAACATAGACTTTCCCCTAAAAGTGAGGTTTGCCAGTAGTTGCCACTCTTGGGAGGCTTACCAATTTGGCAAGCTTTGGTGGCTTTTAGTTCAATATAACGTTTTCTTTTCCATTTTTCAGAGTCGATATGTTTATCCGACAAACATGGAGAGAAAGCCGACTCCAACTTCCCGAGGACATTTTTGAAGAAGGCGACGATCACGTGACACTGCCTCCGGAATTTTTCGACAACCTATGGCATCCGGATCCGTACTTTTTAAATTCCAAAGTTACAGGTAATAAATGAGTGAATATTTTTAATATAACGTCTCATATGAAATCGTTGTAAATTATATCTTAATGTAAAAAAACATACATACATCGTATTTCGTTACTTTTATATTTAAATATATTGGCGGTGGTAACATTGTAGGAGATCGTTCAATTCTTATTTTTTTATTTTGCAATTTTACTATGCGTAATGGTTTAAAATAGATTTTGAATATTTTCAACCGACTTCAAAAAAGAGGTTTATTACCTCATAACTACGTCAGTTATAATTCGATTTGGGAAGTTCCACAAATCACCGACTTGAATCGTGACAAAATCATTTATTTTGATTTAAAAAAATAACTAAACTATTGAACCGATTTTGATGACATATTAATGGAACTAATTAATCTACGTACTTAAAAAAAATCCAAATCGGTTTTAGAACTGACAGAATTATAAGGTAACAAACATTAAAAAATACAAAATAGTAAATTATATATAAACTATAATTTTTGATAAAAACAGTTGTATTTCAAATAAAGATATATATATATATATATATATATATATATATATATATATATATATATATATATATATATATATATATATATATATATATATATAACATAACTGTGTGTGGATACTGTAAGTTAAAAATAATTTCTCTAATACTATTAAGAAAATCCATTCTGAACAATGATCAACAAGATTCCAAAAGATGATTAGAACTCATTTCTATCGGTGAACCTACTTATGACCATCCTTAATAAAGCCTGAACGAGGATCTTAAGGGATACCTGATTTATTTCATTGATTTCAAAACAAATAAAAAAACGATGTTCTAAATTTACGAATAATTTTAAATTGAAAACATTTTTCTTATATTCCGTTACCATGGCAACGCGAGTATTTCTCAATTGCCAGTATTAAACTTGCTTCTCTAATGATTGTACAATATTCTCTGTGTGTCTTAATAAAATCATCAAAAACCCTTTCTCTCAAAAATAAGCACTCTTATATTTATATTCTACCTATTATGATAAAATACGTAATTGTAATGCAAAGCCACGTTAGGGGGGGGGGGAAGGGATTGTTAGTAATGGAGACTGAGAATCCCATTGCTAGCAATATACTTAACCAGGTCGTCCTCCTCGCGGTTCCCCCTGAAAACTATCATGATTAATTCCTGATGAATTCATCTTGATAGGCTAACTGGCCTGTTTTCATCCTCATCGATCACCCTTCACTGGTGCTCCGCCAGTGTATCCCGTTAGCGCAGGCGGGGTTACTATTCCATTTTCATCCAATAAAAAAAATGCAAAGCAACGCAGACGGTCTATTTTATAAATACTGCCTACGTTTTAATATTGGTGAAGTAAAGTGACCTTTATTTTATTACGTATAAAAAGCAGAATATTACTGCTCGCATTTGAGAGACCATTCCCTTATAAAATAGCGCCGGCCCATCACAATTTATCTACATCTACACTGATATTATAAAGAGGTAAGATTTGTATTTTTGTGTGTATGTATATTTGTAATGAATAAACTTAAAAACTACTTTGCCGATTTCAAAAACTCTTTCACCATTAGAAAGCTACATTCACCCTGAGTAACATAGGCTATATATTTATTGCTAGAAAAGATTAGGGATCCTTACTAAAGTGCATTTTTCTACATCTTACGTAACGTAAGGTGTAAAAAAATGCTATAAAATATCTTTCGTCGCATACGATGCAGAAACTATTGGTGATAGAACAAAAGTATGTTCTACAATATTGATGAAAATATCAATTACTACAAAAAACTTCGCGATACTATATATCCAACTATTATCGTTATGTCACAATAACCACTTTTTAAAATGTTCTAAAAATGTCCACCCGTACGAAGCCGGGACGGGCTGCTAGTAAAACGATTTTATTTTATTCAAAAAGATGATTTTAAAAGTCACCTTCTGTTTATTACAATTTTAAAACAACTTTCACCACTAATATTTTAGAGGGCTCTTCCATTTTCATCAATATTGGCTGAATTATTTATTTTCGAATCCAGTTAAGTGATTTTAAACAGTTTTTAAAGTTAAAAGCGAATTTTTATTTACAATGCATATTGAACTTTTACTAATTCTTCGAACATAAAAACCGTTTTAATATTTGGTAGTCAACTGAATGGGTTTGAATGAGATCATAATCTGGAATTATTACAAAAAATTCATTTTATTTCGTGTGTCATTCAAAACAAAGCTTTAGAACGTAGACATCAAGGGTCTTATTACAAAAATAATTTAAAATACTATATATCTAAATAGAGTTTAACAAATCTCTATTTTAATGATTAAATATTATTTAGTCCTAGTAATAATAATCGTCATCATCCTCATCATCATCATATTAGCGATCATTATCTGTCCACTGATGAACATAGGCCTCCATCATAGACTGCCACAAAGAACGCTCCCGATCCACTTGCGTACACTAGCTCTCTGTAATTTGAAGTGAATGCTACTACGTGGGGATTGTCCCACACTACGATTCCCAGGACGAGGTTACCATACAAAAACTTTTTTAATTTAATAATTTTTATCTGTAATTTTTTAATCTTTGAACTTTGAGCTATTTTGGCTCATGACGCGCTGTTTCTTATACTATGGTACTACTAAATAACATTTAATGTCGACTGTCACTGTTCTATTACTATAAGAATATTAGATCTTACCCGTGACTTTGTTCATTTCATTTCGTCCTAAAGCAGCCTTTCCCAAAGTAGGTGATAACGCCCCCTTGTGGGTGCTGCAGGCTTAAAGGGGGGCGGTAAGAGACCCAGAAAAAAAGGGCAGTGTTGTGTAGAGACTTGTTTGTTGATCTTGAAGTAATAGTGGTTTTTAAGTAAGTAAAAAATGGGGGTGCTAAAAAACCATTTATTCTCAAAATGAGCAGTAAACAAAATAAGTTTGGGAACCCCTGTCTTAAAGAAATCCTTTTCAAGGACTTTTAAATCTTCAAGATAGCCATATTAAATTTCAGCAAAATATGCTAAATGTTAAAGACCCAAAAGTCAAACAGACTGACAAAGTTTATATAATAGTAACCTCGTATATTCGGTATTTTGGTTTGAGTTTGTCACGGTTGTCACCTTTAGGGGGAAGTCTATGTTCAACAGGGGGCAGTTAACGCCTAATATGATAATCATGATGAAGGAAGATGTTTAGATGGCTGTGTTTCGGTTTTAAGGGTGGGATAATGGCAGTGAATTTACAGGGTACAGAGGAATAACACCTGAGTCCTCAGGAAGGGCAACGCATGGGGGGTATCATGGGCGAAACAGTATAGTCTGTTATGTCCATGGTACTGCTCATGTCTAGGAGACGGTTACCACTTTCCATCAGGTGTTTGCCATTCTACGTTACATAAAAAAAATTCGACATCTACTTTGCCGTATTAAAAAAAAAAATACCTTATAGGCAATAAATTTACCACTTATTTTACGTAGTTCATAATATTATTATTGTAAATGTAGAACAGCTCGCATCCATACATTTTAATAACATTTACTATACGAAAATGGATAATGTATGTGCATGAATAAGGAGAAATAAAAACATATGCCCATATGATTGTGTTATGGACGAAAATTTATGATAATATCCACTAAAATAATATCGTGTCGGTCGGAGGAGTGGCAGCGGTAGAAAAGAATATGGTTTTGAAAATATTATATTAGGAAAAAAAGTTTGTTTGTATAAACTTTATAAAAGTAATAAAAAATGACAAAGTACACAGACGGACTTATCACTTGAAGGGATTTCTTTTAGTTAACTTTGAGAAACCGAAAGAGAATAACATAGGGTAGGGTTTATATATAAAGTATATATATATATATATATATATATATATATATATATATATATATATATATATATATATATATATACATGCGAGTAGCAATCTAAGAATTTACCTTGTTTAGGCAGGCGGATTGGCAACCAAAGTTAGGCTTTAGTGATGTTTTAAGGGGGACGCTGCTACATCCCTCAATCATTAAGTTCCCTTAGTCGCCTCTTACAATACCCACGGGAAAGGCTCTTCCTTTATGTATATATATATATATATATATATATATATATATATATAGCCATTCTATACCGGGATCATACAGCTCACTCTGTATGTTAGATTTAAATCCTTAATAAAATTCCAAACCTAAATAAATATTACCACAGAAATGATCTAACAAAACTTTTCTACTACTCCGTATTTCAGCAGTAAATGGTAGTTTTCAAAGGCGGTAATACATAAGAGTAGTAGGTATAGATAATATGTATGTCTGAGATCCACGGGGATGTTGTATTTATAGACGGTAGTTACCACTCACCATCAGAGCTGGCAGCTTGTTTACCGCTCCCAATAAATATACGAGTACACTGAAGGCTCCCAACAGTATTGTTACGTGCGCCTGTAATTACCATTGCGTGAATGTAGAAATATCTTTATACACCAAGGACCGACACAAGCATCTGTAATTTTGTATTGTTAACGAAACACAACTGTACTCTTAGCTTTATAAGGGATTGTTAATGAGAAGCGTTCTGTATTTGTTTGAAGCGAATATTTGTTTGACTTGAGAAGACGATTTTTTAAGAGCTATATCATAAGTATAGCTTTATATGGTTATAAAAGGTGAATAACTATTAGTCTATCTAAGTAACGCAAAGAAAAAAACAGATAAAGTCTTTGAAATATGGTGCTAGAGAGGGATGGAAAATATTAGATGAATAGATCGAATTAGTAATGTAGAGGTCCAACTTAGGGTTAAGAAGGAGAGACAAATTATAAAAACTGTTGAGTGAGAAGAAAAAAAAATGTTGGGACAATTCATACGATACGACGAACTTATGAACATTATTTATTTATTTTTTGGAAAACATACAGCTGAATTACAGTCAATACATAATCAAACTTATATCTATGTTAAGCCATGAATCGTTTTCACATTTGCGTAATGACACAACTGATCGGTT